TTTTTCATTGTGTATCTTACTGACTACTCACTATGTGCTAGGTGCATGGATACGGCTGTAAATGTGAAACAAGTGGATTCTGCCCTCAGATTTATAATCTGATGGGGACATAGATGCTAAACAAATCCTAACATGAATGTGTAGTTACTTTTCTTTATAGCATTTGACTGTGCTGTAAAGAGAGTGTGATGGAGGTTATAGTTATAGCAGGAAGTCATGGTTTAAATGGGTGGGAAGTGAGGAGTGTGTGTGTGTGTGTGTGTGTGTGTGTGTGTGTGTGTGTGATGACTGGAGAAGATATCTTTGAAGAGGTCCTATTTACTCTAACCCTGGAAGGATGAGTATGATTTACTTAGACAATTGGAGAAAAACATCCTAGCTAAAGAAAAGTAAGTAGTGAAAACTCTGAAATTCATTTTTACTTCTCTGTGTCTACTCCAGGCCAAATTTTTCTTGTGTTCCAAACAGCAAGTAGAATTTAGTGTCCTGTGTTACATGTTTCTCCAATAGGCTATATGTTTGGGACTTTAGTAATGTGTTGATTGATTAAGGTGCTGTAGTTTGTTTCATCATGATACATATGTCCTTGAATTTCAAGAACATGGAATTTAGAGTTATTCCAGGAAAGTGCAGGTGAATTTTTATGAAGTAGCCTAATTATGCCTTCCCGGTATCATTTGGGAAGTCTCTCCTACTTACCCTAAGTAACTGTGGTTATTTAGACTTTAATATGACACTCTGCAAGATACCTTATAATGAATGGTACCACACATGTTTTGCTTTTTGTGCTGAAGAAATCTTTTAACCAGCCAGGAGCATTGGGCTAAAGTTTAGAAATAGATACGTTCTAGGACTAGGGATATGACTTTGTCACTTTCCCTGTAGTCCAGAAGTGTGACTGAATTAATTCCAATGACAAATTGCTCCAAAGACCTGAAAGATATGTCAGTGTGGGAGGGTTACAAAGACTTTATTTGTGAGAAAGTTGAAATGTAGACAAAGGGGGTCAATTAGGAGAGGAAATGTTTTTGATATTTAATTTATCAAATTAGGAAGGAGAGATATGAAAGCTACCTCCACTTACAGGTAGATTATCAAAGATAGTCACTGTAACATTTTAAAATAGCAAAAAAAAAAAAAAAAAAAAAAAGTAACAACACTTTAGGATAGAATGGCTTACTATGAATCATTTAAAATGATCTTTATACAAAACATTTAAGCTTAAATACATTGGAATGGGCAAAGGTTTTCTTTTTACAGAAGACCTCTAAAACACAAGAAACAAAAGCAAAATTAGAAAAATGGCACGTCAAGCTTAAAAGATTCTGCTCTGCAAAGGAAACTATCAACAGAGTGAAAAGGCAGCTTCTGGATAGGAGAAAATATTTGCAAACTATACATCTGACAAGGACTCGAGATATACATCACAAAGAAAATTCTAAAATCTCAATGGAAAAAAAATGAAACAATCTGTGGTGGACAAGCTCAATTGTGTCAAGTTGGCTGGTTTGAGAACAGCCAAGGGGATTAGAAGGACACTTCTGGGTGTGTCCTGGTAGGTCATAAAGGTGTGACTGTGGGTATGGCACCCAGTCCCTAACCCTTTCTTGTCTATTGCTGTTCCCTGGTTCTGCTTCCAGACTGTACCAACTAAGTAGCTTTGCTCCACTGTACCCTTCTGCCATGATGTCTCTGTCTGGAAGTCAACCAACAATAGACAGTTCCCTGGAAACATGAGCCAAATTCAACTTCTTCTTTAAATTGTGGATGTTGTTTTGTACAGTAAAGAGAAAGCTGACTAATACGTAACCTCATTTAAAAATGGGCAACAGGTTTTTTTTTTTTTTTGTATTTTAGGGAAGGGTTTACAGGGTGTTCAGTGTCTGATAGTGATCCTCTGTAGTGATCCTCCTGTTTACAGCCTCTCAAGAGCTGGGATTACAGGCACAGGCCACCACACCCAGCCTCAATTGCCATATCAGTGTTCCCTGGAGGTGGAGCCAGCATGGCAGGCTTGGGGATCAAACCCCCAGCCCCTGAGCCTGCTTGCAGGCACTTTAATCTGCTGAGCTGTTTGGCCAGCCCAACAGATCTTAATAGACATTTGTCAAAAGAAATCATGCAAATAGCCAAAAAGTATATGAAAAATGCTTAACATAACTAATCACCAGAGAAATGCAAATCAAAATTACAGGACACCATCTCAGTCTAGTAATAATAGTTATCATTGAAAAGATGAAAAAGATAAATGCTGTTAAGGATGTAGAGAAAAGGAAACTCTTGCACATTGTTGGTGGGGATGTAACTTAGTATGTAAATTAGAATTAGAAGGATTATGAAAGTTTATTAAAAAACTAAAGGTAGAGCCAAATGTAGTGGCCACACCTGTAAACACAGCACTTTGAGAGCCTGAGGCAAGAGGATTGCAGGTGTGAGTGCAGAAGTTTGAGCCCAGCCTAGGCAACTAAACAGGATTGTATCTCAAAATAAAACATAAGAATTGAGGATGTACTGGAGTTAGTCTCTACTATTAAAAAAAAGAAAAAAAGGAACTACCATATGATCTAGAAATCCTCATTTCTAGGTATACACCTAAAGGAAATAAAAATCAGTATGTAAGAAGAGACATCTAAATCTACAAATTCATGTTTATTTCAGCATAATTCACAGTAGCTAAGAAATGAAAATGACCTAAGTGTCCATTAACTGATTAATGGGTTAAGGAGATATGGTACAGTGGAACATTAATCACTCATAAAAAATGAAATCCTGTTATTTGCAGCAACATGGATGGAACTGGAGATCATGGTATTAGGTTGACGTAAGAGCTCATTCAGATGTGGAATGTAAAAAAATTGGTCCCACAGAAATTGAGCATAGAAGGGCGATTACCATATACTGAGAAGTGCAGGGTGGGAAGTAGGGATGAAGCGATGGGGTGATGGGAACTAAGTTGTAGCTGGATACCACGGAAGTGCATGGTAGGGCATCCACAGATAAAAATAATGTACTGTACAGGTTAAAAAGCTAGAAAAGATTGTGAATGTTTTCGTCAAAAACAAATGATGTATTTGAGGAGACGGCTATGCTTAACCTGATTTAAGCATTGTATAATGCCTGCAAGTATCAAAATATCATAGGGTATTCCATTAATATGTGTGATTACTGGTCTTAGTTAAAAAATTTATTTTATAAATACAAATATATTTATAAATACATTTAGTTAAAAAATAAATTTATTTTATAAATACAAATGCTTACTTTGCATGAGAAAATGTTCAAGATATAAGAAATAATAGTATATATCTATTAAAAACATAAATAAACCATGATATTAAATGTATAAAAGTCTTAATGAACAAATAGATGGAAGGGAATGCATTAGAATGTTAACAGTGTTTATGTCAGGGTGGTAACATTATAGGTGACTCATTATTATTATTATTATTATTATTATTATTATTATTTTGGCTGGCTCAGCCTACCCTGAGGGCGGGGCTGGTGGGGCACATGGTCCCCTGCACCTGCCTAAGCTTGCCTAAGCGGCATTTTAGACTGCTGAGCTATCTCACTGGCCCAGACTCTTTTATTTTATTTTATTTTATTGTGGAAATGGGGATTGAACTCAGGCTCTTGTGCTTGCCAAGCAAGTGCTTATTCTACTGAGCTATCTGCCTGGCCCCCAGACTCTTATTTTAATATTCATCTTTTTTTCTAATCTTTGAAAATATAAAATATATCTTACTTTTATGGTCAGAAAAAAAGCAAAACAAATTATCTTGAAAAACAGATATGTAAAACCACAAACTATGGTAATTATATAAAGCTCAGATTATCAGGAAGCGAGAAACAAATTAAAGGAGAAGTTTAGAGAAGGCCAATGAGTAGAAGACACTGAAGGAAGTGGCGGAAGAGGAGGCCCTTTGAGGAGGTGGCCCTGTTGGGGGCATGTTCCTCTCCACATGAGGTCTGAAGTGGGAGAGGAACACCCAGGGGCCGCGGTGGAGTTCTTACAGCCTGCGGCTTCACCTTGAGTGATTCCTTGAGACAGTAAGCAGCATGAAATATCATGGGGTTTTCCGCGACCTTTCTGTCCGTCTAAGAACACTGGGTGTCTTTTTTTTTTTTTGACATTCTCTTTGCATGGGGAGCCTCCTGCAGATGTACAGGTGGTGAGGGTTGCAGGTTGGGTATCTTTTGCACAGTTCCTGGAAGTCTATTGGGGCAGGACTGGCAGAAGCCAAGTAAGGTGTGCTCAGTTCTCAAGAGGGCCACCTATGACCCACAGAAGTATTACATTTCTTAAAAACTCCTTTATTTCCTTCCACAGCTATTAAATGTTTCCTGGCTTCTCAATATGACCCTTGTATTTTTTTTGACACAGTCTATTCCCATCCTATAAAAATTTCTCAGCAAGAGGTTTCTTTCTTTCTCTTTTTGGACACCTTGTTGAGACAGAAGATCACAAGTTTGGTGCCAGCCCTGGCAAATTAGTGAGACCCTGTTGTGAACTAATGAATGAGAAGCATGGGACATATCTCGGTGGCAGAGTAAGTGTGAGGCTGTGTATTCAATTCCTAGTTAAAAATCAAACAAACAAGCAAACAAACAAAAAACAAAACAAAACAAAACCACTTTGGATAGCTACTCTCAAGTCTCTGCTGGGTTTCACATCCTCCCTTTTCAGAATTCTGCTACCAACAGTTGAAGTTAATGCTCCTGAGCCCATCATACAATGATTAGAACTCTTTTTCAGCACAAAAAAAAAAAAAAAAAGGCTTGCTTTTAAAAGAACATGTAGAAGTCTAAAGTCATCAAAACAATGTAATATCCTGTGTGAAAGTTGCAGGGCCTTGTGGTTTGAGTCCCTTGATCATGTGCCCTAAGGGAAGTCAGTTGGTGGCGGCTGTGGATGAGTGAGACTCTCGGGCCCAGCAGGTGCATCTGCAGCTCACCTCACACCTGGGCTCCTCAGGGTGGAAGTCCTGGAGTCCTGGGCCAAGTTAGGACAATGGTGCTCAGGCTGCTGTTCTTGGCTCTCAACTTCATCCTCTCAACTCAAGTGACAGGTAAAAATGACTCGGACTTTTTTTTTTCCTCTTCTAAGTTTTGCGTTTGTATTCTTGCATTTGGCCTGGTGTAGCTGAACCTTCACATGACCTGTGAGATTTAAGCACTTCTGAAGTGTACTTTTCTTCTAATTTAGAGACTTGTTATTTGGAAACTTACTGATTTCCAGAATACAGGATAACATTTAACAAAAGTCTTTTGGGTATGAACATGATTTTATTTAGCTACAAGTTGATAATGTCCCAAGAAGTTTTATTTTAGCTTATCTACAATTTTTTTCTTTATAATTTAAGGAAACTGTTTTAAACAGATTAGCTCTAAAAGCTTTGAATTGAGATTGTCTGAGCTATGACACAGATCTAATTCTTACTAGCTGACTTTAGGATAGTATTTAAATTCTCTAATCTCAGTATCCTTATCTATAAAATGGGAATGATAATAAACCTCATCTCGTGGTCATGGTGAAGATGAAATAATTCTTGTGAAATTCTTAGCTCAGTCAGTGGTAGGCAAGGAAGATCAGCATCTGCTGAATCATTATGTCTACCTGAATTAAATCAATACCAGCATGAAATCTGGAATCACTGTAGTAGGTGGTACAACACAAATGGCAATGATAATGATTTTCTTTCTTTCTTTCTTTCTTTCTTTCTTTCTTTCTTTCTTTCTTTCTTTCTTTCTACTATTTGTTGAGATCTATTTATTTAGATTAAAATCCTTGATGTTTTCAATAATGATGATGAGAAAGGTGGTACAACTATCATTACAGAGTGCTTACTTTGCGCAACATTTAATTCTAGTAAGTAGGAGTTATTACAATAACGGCTTTAGTAACACACAAGTAGGAGATACTTATTATAATAACTGCCCTAGTAACTAACAACTAGAATATAGTTATTACAGTAACCCCACTTCAGAGGAGGAGGTCTGGGTAACTGTCCCCAGGATATACAGGTCCTAGTTGCTGATGGCAGGTCCAAGCCACCATCGTCTGACTCGAGCACCTGTCCTCTGACTACTGTCCTTTTTCTAATCAGCATAATATGACCTGTAATGTCATAGAACAGTGTAAGTCCATGGTAAAATCATCTCCAGAAAAATCATAATTTCTAAAAGACACACACATGGACATGCGCGCGCGCGCGCGCGCGCACACACACACACATATACACACCCCTGTTGCTTTGGTGAGCCAGTGTAGTAGGTTCATTTAGCTTATTCTCAGAGTTAGAAAAGAGTCTTGCTTGAATCAAAAATTGGAACATGTTTCAAATGAGGACAGCTAATTCCTTTGCAGTGGAAAATTTTCCCTTGCAGTGCCAATATCTGCAGTTTTTGTTCTTATTTATTTTGGTGGTGAAGAGCTTTCATCATCTGGTGGTGCTGTTCTTAAACATCATGTGTGTGCAAAGAGTATAATTTCCCAACTGGCAGAAATACAATACTTACATATGCACCCATCAATTTCGTTGTCTGATATGCTGGGCGTGTGAATTGTGTATATTTATAAAAGGTGTTGCTGTATAACAAAAGACATGAGCTGTGGGAAGTTATGCCCCAGTATCTGGTACCAAAGAAATCTGTAAACTTTATTTTGAAAAAGCTTTTAAACTTAATGTTCAAGGAAAATTTATCATTTATTTTTAACAATATTTAAAATATGTTAATTTATTACATGATAAAGGGACATCTTACTGTAAATAAAAGCTATTTGGAATTGGTAATCGTACACACAATATTTTTCTGATGTATTTTGTGGACAACTATTTGAACTCGGGAACTTTCTTTTGAAGATTTTCTTTGCAAATTTTGTATTTTTCCCTTTAGAACACACATTAAAAAGTGGGGGTGGAGATAAAGCTGTTGCAAATTTTATGCATGCAGAGCATTTACTTTCTTCTTTCTTTGGGATACATTTACTTTCAAATGCCAACGGATTTTCCTAGTCACTTTTAGGATTTGATGGTGAGTGGCTGTTAATGAAGGAGAGCAGGTTGGTGGCACTGTCGAAATGCCCTTCAAGTAAGAAAACTCATGAGAAAAAAGGTGATTACAACATACAAGATGTGTGATCCATTCTAATCCACTATGTGAAGGCATCCATGTCATTTTCATTTTTCTCTGTATTCACCCTTCAGGAAAAAATCATAGATGAGGAAATTCTCTGATCAAAATATCATTGTCCTCTCTTGAGAAGCCGCCATTGTACCAACGTGTTTGTGTGTATGTGCATGTGCGTGTATGAAGAGCAACTTAATGTTCCATTAATTCATCAGTCTAACTCACTGGCTCATAGCACAGTTTAAAATACTTATTCAAGGGCTGGGGATATAGCTCAGGGCTTAAGTACCTTCATGGCATGCGCAAGGCCCCAGGTTTGATCCCCAGTACCACAGAACAAAACCTTACTCCATGGTCAACCCTAACCGATTTTTCATGATTTGGGTGATATGGCAGAAAGATCATTACAGCTAAATTTAAAAAAAAGGTGATTTGGGAAGAATGAGGAAACCACTACCTAGATGATGTCTTTGCTTAAGGTACATGTTTTGACAAGATTTGAGTAATTGTGCAACTGAAGTCCATCTGGGTAGATGGTGTTGGACTTTGGAAAGTGATTTGTGGTTGATGGTAGGTGTGTGTGTGTGTGTGTGTGTGTGTGTGTGTGTGTGTATAATTCATGGTATCGGTCATACATGTTTAGCCCACATTAGTTGGCTAGCTGATGCTTCGATCTAAAAACAAAAATCAAAATAACACCACCTCTTTTTCCATGCAAGCGTTTCTTTTCCGTTCTTCCCCAAAAAACTTAGCAGATAAACTGTGGAATTGACTGGTTTGGAGGCCACTGATTCCTCTGGTGCTGCTGAGTAGGACTGGCACTTCTTTCGCTGAGAGAGGCACGGAGGGCAGGAAAATGATTGGCATTTAATAAAAAGTAATACCAGCATAGCAAAGTAATTAACAGCTTTAATCTTCAGCAAATGACTCCTCTGAGATAACTGCCCGAAGAAGTCATTTACCTCTTACAGTTTACTGTTCCTTGAGGGCTGGGCGTAGGAGATGAAGGTAAAAAGATAAACACTAAAAAACAGAATGCGACCAACAGATTTCTGTGTTACATAACTTTTGATGCACAGTAGTCAGTTCTCATGATTGTTACGAAAAAATCAATGGATGTTTTATCATTTGAAGTACATTTGAGGGCTGTTTCCAAAATATGGACAGTGCGTGAGAACTTGTACTCTACTACCATGACCTCAGAGAGTTAATTAATTTTGCTGCTTTTTTTTTTTTTTTTTTTTTTTACTTTTAAGGTAACTATCTGGCAAGGACTTTTGCAGCAGAACTGTAAAGTTAATATCTATATATGAATTCAAGGAAATAGAATGAGTCATTGCCATGGAGAGCTTAGAAGTAGAAATGAGTCTGTGAATGTAACTCTGAAGTGCTCACATTGGAACCTTTGCTATGGATGGGAGCAGGTCTCATGGCCTTCTCTTCTTTAGACATGATTTCTCCTTTTTCATTGTCTCTTTTGTCATGGGTGGATAAATGCTTTATGGTTACCATTTGGCACTTATTTTGTGTGTATATATTCCTTCAAGTATTTCTGGCTTATAGTGTGCTGACATTTACAGATTTAAAATTTTTACGTCATCAATTATCTTACACTGGATCATTATAAAGGATAACATCTTTTTCTCCCTTTTATCTCAGTTAAATTATTGTTTGCCTTCTTCTACAAGAAGTTTATTCACAGAGATTGGAGATTTTTTTCACCTGTTCTGTAAGAGTTTAGTTAAACACCAAGAAAAATGACTTCTTGGTGGTTAGTTTTGTGAATGGCTTGGAGGGCTCTCTGGATTTCTAAATGGTGGACAGGTATTTCTGTATCTCTTTGGTGGTGACTTCTTGAACTCTTTTGAACACTGATATGGTGTTAACATTAAACCCAACCGACTCACAAATACAAAACTCCCCAAATATTCAACATACCCAGAGCTTTTAGTATGATAATTGTTGTGTGATAATTAGTACTTGAAGTGAGAAGAAAGTTATCTCTGGCCCCTAGAAGAATATTTGAATGGTAAGGCTCTAGCTTCGTTATTCTCATTTTGAAGACTGAATACTCAAGAGAGGCATGTTGGATAGGATCTAGAACTACTCAGCTGCTTGGGAGAGGCTCTGAAAAAGAGCCCTCAGATGTCTCAGGCCCTAGCAATTCCACTAATTTTATAGGCGTCCTATTTTAGTTTGTGTGTCATCATGTATACTATATGTGTTTCTCTTCTGGTTGCTGAAAAACCAGCTGCAAGGTGGCAGAGAATTTCTTCCTTAATTTTGAGCTGCTCTTTTATCTCTGGATCATCTTCACTATCATCTTTTTCTTTGTCATCATTTTCATTATCTTGGTGACTCTGACTGACAAGATAAGCAGGTTCATGGTTCCTGATGGTGTCATTCAGAATTACTGCATTCACCTCTGTCTCTGATCTGGTCGCTTGATTTTTTTTTTTTTTTAATTACCAAGAAAGTAGAAGGTTATGCTTTTCATTGCATAGGGCTACTTGACACAGCATGAAATGTCAGAGCCTCACCTTGGGTACTTGCAGTTTCTAGTGGATGACCTTCTCTGACAGGGAACACTATTAATAATAATGGCATGTAATTTAAGGTCAGGGTCATTTTGTTCCTGATAGACACACTCTTGCAGGGTGGGTGAGAACAGGCACACACGAGAAAGTGTCCCTTCTAAGATGTGACCTCTAGTTGTCTCAAACAAGATATCAGCAGGTTCCTGTTTGCTAAAGTTCCAGATCCTTCTTGTGATTTGGCAAGATTGGTGCTCAGGATATGTTTATAGAATGTACTGTATGTATAAGATACTAGCCTGGATTCTGTGACAGATACAAGAAAATCCTCTTTTGAGATGAAAGGAAGTAAAAATGAGAATGATGAAACATCTCTAAAATTCTTTCACTTTTAATTTAGGACC